TACTTTTACTCAAGAACAAGATCTGAGTACTTCTCAAACAGATCTGAGTACTTCTACTTTTACTCAAGAACAAGATCTGAGTACTTCTACTTTTACTCAAGAACAAGATCTGAGTACTTCTACTTTTACTCAAGAACAAGATCTGAGTACTTCTACTTTTACTCAAGAACAAGATCTGAGTACTTCTACTTTTACTCAAGTACAAGATTGAGTACTTCTACTTTTACTCAAGTACAAGTACCTTTATTCTGATCACCAGAAACCGCCTTACTTGCACCTTTAATACAGAGCCGGTCTCCGCCCATCGCTCCGGGTTCAGAACCCCTTAGTCCCTCAGCTGTCTCAAGAACAAAGAGAACCAGAAAGAGAACAGAGACTGAAGGTCGGCTGTAAGAACTGAGTGCGAACAGACTCACTGTGGAGCAGGAAGAGACCCGAGAGAGGAGGAGGTCCCGCTGATCTGAAGACCTGATGGTGTTAAACCGGTGAAGCGCTGCAGGTAACGGGTGTTAACATGTACATACAGGTAGTAACAGGTGTTTACAGCAGAGACAGAGTCACCTGATCCCTCCTCAGAGACAGGGAACCGGCTTGAGATCCATGTCAACAACAACTGGTTAGACCAGGAAACATTCATATGACATTACTGACATATTACAGTAAATAAGGATTATAAATTACTAACATATGTTGGTCAGAAGAATAAAAGATATGAAATCATTTCTGATTCATATTATTATTATTTATTTGTGTTTCCTATTTGCTAGCATTGTATTATTTTAATGTCAATGTAATGTCCCCTCTTTGGGACTAATCAAGGTTCTGGTTCTGATTCTGGTTCTGGTTCTGATTCAGATTTTTGTTGTTGTTGTTGTTGGTTTTATTGTCAGATATCTTTACATTTATGTGTTTGTATGTTGATGTATTTGAATAACTCCTGGTTTAACCTCCGTCCAGCTGGGGGCGCTCCAGCCAGTCTAAGCGGATCATGAAGTGGATCATGAACCGGATCAACAACATGCACCAGATCATCAACACTGGAGCTCCGGTTCTCCGCCGACATGTCCCCCTGCTCTCTGCCCGCTCACAGAGCTCTCCTCTCGGCCGTGTGTCTGCTGCTGCCCCCCCTCTCCCTCTCCCTCCCGGAGGTCCCTCACATCGCCCTGTTCTTCGGCACCAAGACCCGGTATGAGGAGGTGAACCGGGCTCTGCTGCTGGACCCGCTGTGGGTGAACCGGTCCGTGCTGAGACCCCCTCCCGGAGAGAGCTGCTCCCCGGTGCACCTCACCGCCCTGATCCGCCACGGGAGCCGGTTCCCCACCGCGAAGAACATCCAGAGGATCCGGAGGCTCAGCGAGCTGGTGGCGATCGCAGGGGGGGAAGCGACCGGATGGGGGGCCGCAGGGGGGGTAGCCACCGGAGTAGGGAGCGGAGAGGGGGCCGCAGGGGGGGGAGCGACCGGAGGAACGACCGGAGGGGCGACCGGGGACTGGCTGCGGGAGATCCGGAGCTGGGAGAACTGGTACACAGAGGACATGGACGGTGAGACCCGGAGCAGGGGGGCAGAGAGGGACTAACATATACCTGTGAAAATGCTTTCATGTTAATGAAAATAATTATTTTGTATTTCTAAATGTTTACACAAAAACAATAATTATATTACTGGAAGAATTTGTATTTATAAAATATAACTGAAAACAATTATGCTACAATATATTACTGTTTAAACAGCTCACATATTAAAAAAGATATAACAGATAACATTGATATGACTGAAAATACCTGTACCTGTACACCTGCCAGTGCGCGCATGCGCACTTGTGAAAATTAAAATAGCGTCCACCCAGTAAAAAAATCCCCACTACACCACTGGTTATATCTGTATTAATT